CAATATTTTACTTTTTAATTCTATTTAAATTATTAGATACTAGATTTTCATGTAAAAGTATCTAAATATAAAATATGAAGAAATTTTAGTATTTTTAATCACCAAAACTGAAAAAATATGAAAAATCAAAAATTAAAAAATAGATTTAAAAAATAAAATAAATGAAAATGCTTCTTAGAATTTTGACATCATACATTGATTATTAAAGTATCATGTAAAATATTACAGTTCATAAAATGTAATTTAAACCAAAAAAAAAAAATGTGTACGAACATAACCTGTGAATTTTGAGATGCAACAGAAATCTCTGTTTTAAAAACGCATGTACTTTCCTTTATTTAGATTCAAATGAATACATACAACTTTAAGATTCAACCAAAATTATTCATAGTGATTTGATTCATAATGGACAATTGTAAATATTATGTATAATGGTATAAAAGTAGACGTAAGAAATAAGAAAGAGTAATTATTTTTATTCTACAATCATCATCAAAGTAAAAAAAAGGAAGATAACTTTTTTTTTTTTTTTTTTTTTTTATAAGAGCGGAAACGATTTATTCATGTTTATATAGGACTCTTAAGTAAATATATCATTTTTGAATGTTCAACTCTAAAAATAAAGAGATAATTGGTTTATATAAGACTCTTCAAAACTTTTACAAAATATAGTAGATTTGAAAGGGTAAAATTGATATTTAAAAAAAAAAATTAAAAACATGATAAGATTTTCACGGTTATTTTCTAAAATATGGAGTTGGGCTAAATGTTATGTTTATGTAGATTTCCGATGATTTACATGATTGGTTGCATAAATGTCTTAGGCTTTGGCCAAAAAAAAAAAATAAATAAGAAGAAGAAGAAGAAAGGTTCTGTTTGGTGCAGTTATTAAAATAGATTATAAATTTTGATTTTAATCAGAAGCTGTTAATCTGTTTGATATAACTGTTGGATTATAGATTTAAGTTGCTGAGTAGTGTTTGTTAAATAAGCTGTGAAGTAACTTTTTTAATTAACTTTTATTTTTTATTATTTATTATTTGTCTACATTTCTCATAAAAAATAATAATAATATTTTATAGTTCATTTGTGTCCTTTTCTATTTTTAAAAAAATAAAAAATAAAGAAATCTAAGAGTATAACCGTGAATTAACATGTCTACAGCAGAAACTGATAATCAGAAGCAAGTGATAAGCAGCTTCTCAGAATCAATTTTTTTGGCTTAAAATAAGTTGTTAAAATCAAAAGCTGTTTCAAATAAATTTAACCAAACAGTCCAAAATAACTTTTTAAAAACCAGAAGCCATATGTTGGCTCAAAAAAGTCCTACCAAACACCCCCAAAGAAGTCAACTTATTAGTTTATTGGCTTATTTGAGTCACATCACTTCTATATTTTTTTTTTACATATTTTTCTTAATAAGTCAGTAAGCCAAAAAGAAAAAAGAAAAAGAAAAAAAAAAAAAAAAAAACCATTCGAGATTTTCAAATTTTGTATCTTAATTTTTTTATTCTAAAATTACAAACTTGTTTAACAGAAATAAACACTAAAAAATTATTTTTAAATTCTCTAAAATTATTTTTTGAGACTACATAGGGCCTTGAATTGTAATAGTTTTGAATTGATGTATGTAGGCTCAGACTACGCTCATTAGGCCCATAAGCTCATAGCCCAGATCTATTCGCAGCCCAAGTTTTCCTTTTCTTTTGCAGTGGCCCAAAAAACAAGGCAAATAGAAATCGTGGGAATGACTGAAATGTCCTATTAGAAAGATGGATACACCAATAAGACTTTTTGGCTTTTTAGGGTATCAAAAAGTCTTATTCACTTTTAATTGTTATCACAAAATGTTATTTTTTAAAATATTTTTTAGGAGCGTTTTTATTGAAAGTGTCAATAATTGTTAGTTTTTATCGACGGTTTAAAAAATTCATCATAGAAAAATGTTACTAATTATTAATTTTTAGCGGCAATTTAAAAAATTTATCAAAGAAAACGTATCGTTACAGAAAAACATCACTAATTGTCTTTTTTTAGCAACAAACTTTTAAAAAGTCACTAATTATTAACTTTAATGATAAATTTTTAAAAAAAAGTCACTAATAGTTATTTTTTAGGAATGATCCTTATAACTGGACCTGTATTAACCCATATAAATCAAACGGTTCCTTTGTAGGGCCGAAAACAATTAAGATGTAATTTGTTGAAGTTCAACATTGAAGTTTTAAAAATATTTTATCACTAAATTTATAGTGCTAAAGTTTTTGAAGTACTAGAATTTTATATTAGAAATTTAATTGATTTAATTTATGTATTCAGTGAAATTAAAATAAGTCCATTTGATAATTATAATTTTGTATTATTTAAAAATTTTAAGCACCTACTAATATAAATCAAAATTTTAAGTAACAAACTTCATATTTGATTATAAATGCTGAATTTTTAACAGCGGTCAATTTGATGCAGGAGAGGTATGAGTGCAGCTCGATCTTGTACTGTATTCGTCTGTAGTAAGTAGGATATTTTATAATTATGTTGTGATGTATTGTTATCTCTCTATTCAATGTCACCATTACCACCAACCAGCACTAACTCTTCCATGATTTCACCACTACTGTCCCTCCATTGCCACTACGATTGTCATCACAGTTGCCTCTCTATATCATCACCAACACAATCACTATTACCACCATCGTCACCGCTATTCCACCATTACCTCAACTGATTGTCCACAAAAGTGATACTTGACACTTGGCAAGTTGACATGATTACATGCCTGAGCCAATTCCCCACTAGTGTGACATTATACACATATCATGACGGCATTTCAAGATTATTAAATAGTTTTTTTTTTTATATTCTAATGCACCTTATTTTTTCATCATCAAATTTGATTTTTCTCTCTCTTTCTTATTGATGCCAATACTTATATTGAAGCATCTAGGGGGTCCATAAACAACATTTTTAAAACATGATCCAAAAACCTTTGGTCTGTGGTTCTTAGGCTGCTTTGAAGATCAAAGCTTGAGTTATGAAAATCAAGAAAGTGCATGTCATAATCATAAGCTATGCTATACCATTAGCAAAGCCAACAAAGAACTTTATCAAGAGGAATTCAATGACCTCTGTAAGTGGAACCACTTTTTTGAGCAGATTAAGTGGCCATGGAGAAACCTTGGTAGAAGTTTGGAGCACTTTATTATAGAGCTTTGCTTGCTTAAGATCCTCGTTGAAGTAAAGGTTAATTGTATCTTTTAAACAATTTTAATCTTTTATCAATTTATTTATTTGTTCTTATTAACTCAAAAGAAAGAGTGCATTGAGATAAACTAAAAAAGAAACGTCATCTCTCATATCATAATTAAATTGGCACATGTCCTCAGCCAAGTAATGGATATGAATCAAGTAATTAAGGCCAAGTTTGGCATCCTTAAAATAATCCATCTTTTTATCTTTTTTCCATCACATTACCTCTCTACTTTTCTGCACATCTTTTCGTAAAAAGATAAAAAGTCTCTAATTTTCATAAGACCAAAAAAAAATCTTTTGACATGGCAGATGACATCCGCGGAGCATATTTTCATCCATCCTCAGATATTCGGATGTTTTGTTTGATTCGATATTTTTGTTTTCATATCCATCTTTAATTCTGATAGGAAAAAAAAGTTTAACATTAACATGACAAATGAAATAACATATAGTGTTAAGGTTAACTAAGCAAAACAATCCTCACTCATATCTTAACACTAAGTTGGCAAATGCCCTTAGCCAAGCAATGGATATGAATCAAGTAAATTAACTCTCTAGTTATGATATGGAAAAATGAAAGTCCAACATTGGAATGACAAACTTTTTGTTGCTTTTTTGGCTTATTGATTTTTTGACTTTTTTTGACTTTTTTTTTTTTTCTTTTTGTGATTATTTAACCTGGGAAGTTTGCCAAACCAGGACTTATAGAGGGTACTATAAAAATTTATGTAATTACATTTTTCTTTGGTAAAAATATTAATATGAATGTGCTAAAGTTTTCAATTTTTTTTTTTATTTGAGAAATTGAAATTATCATTGTCAAATTATTTGAATTAGACCATCTCCAATGGTTACTTAAAATTGTCATCAAATTTAATGTGATAAAAAGTAGCTTCTTTTCCTGCTCCAACGGTTTCATCACATACGTATCAAATCCAAGATTTCACTTTTCTTTCATCAAACTGAAGACCAATGTGCCTTTCATCAAATCACTGTTCATCGTTATTGGATTTTCACCACCGGATGTCCCCCCGGATGACCACCTCAAGGAAAAAATTTGTGAAAAAATTATACTGGCCGGTCGATCGGTTGGTCATCCGCTCAGATGACCACCTCAAGGTAAAAAATTATGAAAAATTTACACTGGCTGGTTGACTGGCCAAACATCCGTCCGATCGTTCACCCGGTCGACCAGTGTTCTGATGAAGTTTAAAAAATCTCCGTTTGAACACTTCATATCAAATGGACTTTTTACACAAATTTTTACTCAAATTTGGTAAAAATTTTGATGCATCATCAGAGATGCCCTTAAATAAAATATTGATAAAAGTGCTTCACCCTGTGACAGAAAATTCTGAAACCATCACTGGTGGTTGGGTGGTAGTAGATGGTGGTGGAGGTAGAGGTAGTGCACATTTAAACGAGTTTTTACAGATACACATGTTCAATCATTTAAACTCAATTTACTTGAGGTTTTAAGTTATGACTCATTTAAATCTATTCATTCATTTAGAAGGATTTAAACGGATTTTAAATTAGTGCAATTAGGTGTGTTCATGTGTTGGATTAAGTTTACCACCTCAACCATTTAACTGTACTATAATATGGTTGTTCAAAAGAGGAAATCAACAGAAAGATGATTTTTTTTTGTGAGGAAATAAGTTATACCCATTAACTGAATCAAAATGGAGCAAATGGTTGGCTTAAACCAACTTTTGGAAAACATTAACATATATGAAGCAAGTGCAATATATATCACAATAATAGCCTTTAGAATTGACTGTTGCTTTATTTGGACTTTTAAAGTCACAAGGTTCATCCCAGAGTTCACTTAAAAGAACTTTGAAACTTCAGAAATCTGACTGATAACAATATGGTAAAAGATAGATCATTGTAAGCCAAGATCCTAAGATTAAAATGTCTAGCCAGCACTAAAAAATAGACAAATTTATTCAAACTAAGAAAAGACAGTTAGCTGGATCCTGTAATTCCATCACCCAACTCTTCTGCAATCGTTAAGGTTAAATTCGGAGATGCTGCGTTATAATACTGTTGCACCACCAAAACTGAAGCCGTTGTCGAAAAATCAGGTGAAGTCAACAGATTTCCTACAGGTCCCAACTCTGGGCATTCACTATTGTTCCGGTTTAATGCTAAAGCTAATTCAGTAAAAGGTGATCGACCCACCAAAAAGAGGCTGCAGCAACTAAATTCACGGACCACGGCAGTGGCCTCTACAGCATTTCTTACAATTTTCTCTTCATATTTGATTGAGCTGTCTTCTGAAATTGTTTCCTTGAACTCGCTAAGATACTCTTCATCTGTTGAACCCAATTTCGTGATAGAATTGCCATCCACATCGACTCTTACAATCTCTCCTACACCCTCCGTTTCCACAGAGAAGCGAATGACTGTTAATCTTATGCCAGGGTGCTCAGCCATTCGAGCCCCGTAAGCAAGGGCTTCACGATCATCACGGCCTCCGAAGAAGAGAACTGTGATGAAGTAAGCAACATTACTTGCAGATACATGGATTGATCCACCAAGCCCACGGTCGAGTAGGATCCCAACTGAGCATGGTGCGTGTTCGAGTACCCTCTTATTAACATACCGAAATTCAATTCGTGTAGTCTCTAGCGTGCCGTCCAATCTCTGGTGCTTGTGAAATGGTAAAATTATGAAAGCTGCTCTTTTCCTCTCAGCAGTAGTGCAAATGTCCTCGTGCATGTCTGACAGTGAAGAGATTGATGTCATTGGCCTTACTGCCACCTGGCTCAGCCTCCGGAAAGCCTCAAAAGCCACAACAACATGGTTTGAATTTGATCGCTGACCCATATTCCAAAACGGTTGTCTGTTCTTTCTTGCCTTGTGGGCCATTAGTATGGCTGATGACCTTTCAGAGAGCTCCATGAGGTGCAATGCGTACACACAAAGACCTTCACGCTTCTCAACTCCTCGTGAGGCCTCGACGAGATTTATCACCGATGGAATGTTTCTAGAACTACGAAAACAGGCCAGGATTCGAAGCTGAGTATTCGGATTTTTCCTCTCTATTGTTCTATGCTTGTAATCAGCTTTACTTGCCCTTTTTGCAGGCTTATACACGGCCATTACTAGGGGTGTGGTGATGAAGGTAGTGAAGAGGGCCATGACAACCATGATGGCGAATGTTTGATCATTTAATACCTGCATTTTCAATACAATAACACCTGTTAATCAAATGATGAAGAACTATTAAAAGAATTCAGGGTTATTTTGCAATGATAATAACAATACTGGAATTACCTTTCTATCCTTTCCGATGTTGAGGACTATAAGTTCCACCAAGCCCTTGCTGTTCATTAGGAAGCCCAATGCAAGAGCTTCACGAAAAGGTACTCTGTAAAGTGCAGAAACTACAACCGTACCAACGATTTTCCCAAAACAGGCTGTAAATATGACCAAAACAAGGACACCCCATGACTGAAGCCCTTGGATTGTGGCTACATTTGTTTTCAGTCCACTTGAGACAAAATACAGAGGGAGAAAGAGACCAGATACGAGATCTTCAACTTTTTCTACAAGAGCACCAGCAAATGGCCCTTCCTTTGGGACAAGAACTCCAATCACAAAAGCACCAAACATAGCATGAATTCCAATGTCCCTGAGAATTTCAGGAAAATTTTGGGGCTCCAATTGAAGAACTCCAATCACAAAAGCACCAAACATAGCATGAATTCCAATGGCATCAGTCATAAACCCAGCTGCAAGTACAGCGGCTAAGGTAGCACATACATACATCTCTTTCTGATGGCGGACAGGGACGCTCTCTTGGCCCTACTCCCCCTCTCGCTCTCTCTGTAAAGGGGAACCCACCTTTCTCTTTCTCTTGACTAGCACATACACACCCACATCATTGATACAGTGGGAACCAACCTCTCTTATCTTTCCACTTTCTTTTCCTTTTTTTATTATTATCACTTTTTTTTTTTCTAAGCACGCTCTCTTCTGCTCTCTCTCTCTCTGACTCTGAGCCCTACACTTACCATTTCCAAGGTGTACATGCACTCCACCCATCCACCGCCCACTCACTCTCTCTCCTCACTTTTATATATATATATCTTTTTTATTATCTTCTCTTCAAAAAAAAAACCGCCGTACTTAGGATGCTTGCTTATGATGTAACGAATGATTATATGGATGAATATCTGAGAATCGAAGAAAGTACCGCAATGAAGAGTTTAAAAAAGTTTGTTAAAGCTATTGTTGTTGTGACGACCCCAACCTCCAAACTAGTACATTATATAGTTTTAATGAGTTTAATTGCATGATTATGTACTTTCTTGTGTGATTACATGTTTAATTCTATAATTATCTGTTGATATATGGAATATCTGTTTAAATTGATAACTTAGAGTCGGAAACTGGGAGCCCAATAGGCAAATAGGCAAATTAGAATATTTAGAATTTTATGGCAACTTTAATTGATAGTTGATTTGGTTCAAAATAATTAGAATAAACTGATTGAATTAGTTAGAGTTAAGCCTTATTAATTAATCCTAACTATATTTGATTTGGCCAACTTAATCACATCCTATATAAGACCCAAATTAAGCTTAGGAGCTCATTTTATATGCACACTCAGCTGAGAATTGAGAGAGAGGAGAGGAGAGTTGAACATTTAGAGACGAAAGAGGAGAATTGTAGAGAATTAGTGGAAGATTCAAAGATTGAAGCCTAGGTCATGTTAAGCCTAGGTCATGTTAAGCCTAGGTCATGTTAAGCCTAGGTCATGTTAAGCCTAGGTCATGTTAAGCCTAGGTCATGTTAAGCCTAGGTCATGTTAAGCCTAGGTCATGTTAAGCCTAGGTCATGTTAAGCCTAGGTCATGTTAAGCCTAGGTCATGTTAAGCCTAGGTCATGTTAAGCCTAGGTCATGTTAAGCCTAGGTCATGTTAAGCCTAGGTCATGTTAAGCCTAGGTCATGTTAAGCCTAGGTCATGTTAAGCCTAGGTCATGTTAAGCCTAGGTCATGTTAAGCCTAGGTCATGTTAAGCCTAGGTCATGTTAAGCCTAGGTCATGTTAAGCCTAGGTCATGTTAAGCCTAGGTCATGTTAAGCCTAGGTCATGTTAAGCCTAGGTCATGTTAAGCCTAGGTCATGTTAAGCCTAGGTCATGTTAAGCCTAGGTCATGTTAAGCCTAGGTCATGTTAAGCCTAGGTCATGTTAAGCCTAGGTCATGTTAAGCCTAGGTCATGTTAAGCCTAGGTCATGTTAAGCCTAGGTCATGTTAAGCCTAGGTCATGTTAAGCCTAGGTCATGTTAAGCCTAGGTCATGTTAAGCCTAGGTCATGTTAAGCCTAGGTCATGTTAAGCCTAGGTCATGTTAAGCCTAGGTCATGTTAAGCCTAGGTCATGTTAAGCCTAGGTCATGTTAAGCCTAGGTCATGTTAAGCCTAGGTCATGTTAAGCCTAGGTCATGTTAAGCCTAGGTCATGTTAAGCCTAGGTCATGTTAAGCCTAGGTCATGTTAAGCCTAGGTCATGTTAAGCCTAGGTCATGTTAAGCCTAGGTCATGTTAAGCCTAGGTCATGTTAAGCCTAGGTCATGTTAAGCCTAGGTCATGTTAAGCCTAGGTCATGTTAAGCCTAGGTCATGTTAAGCCTAGGTCATGTTAAGCCTAGGTCATGTTAAGCCTAGGTCATGTTAAGCCTAGGTCATGTTAAGCCTAGGTCATGTTAAGCCTAGGTCATGTTAAGCCTAGGTCATGTTAAGCCTAGGTCATGTTAAGCCTAGGTCATGTTAAGCCTAGGTCATGTTAAGCCTAGGTCATGTTAAGCCTAGGTCATGTTAAGCCTAGGTCATGTTAAGCCTAGGTCATGTTAAGCCTAGGTCATGTTAAGCCTAGGTCATGTTAAGCCTAGGTCATGTTAAGCCTAGGTCATGTTAAGCCTAGGTCATGTTAAGCCTAGGTCATGTTAAGCCTAGGTCATGTTAAGCCTAGGTCATGTTAAGCCTAGGTCATGTTAAGCCTAGGTCATGTTAAGCCTAGGTCATGTTAAGCCTAGGTCATGTTAAGCCTAGGTCATGTTAAGCCTAGGTCATGTTAAGCCTAGGTCATGTTAAGCCTAGGTCATGTTAAGCCTAGGTCATGTTAAGCCTAGGTCATGTTAAGCCTAGGTCATGTTAAGCCTAGGTCATGTTAAGCCTAGGTCATGTTAAGCCTAGGTCATGTTAAGCCTAGGTCATGTTAAGCCTAGGTCATGTTAAGCCTAGGTCATGTTAAGCCTAGGTCATGTTAAGCCTAGGTCATGTTAAGCCTAGGTCATGTTAAGCCTAGGTCATGTTAAGCCTAGGTCATGTTAAGCCTAGGTCATGTTAAGCCTAGGTCATGTTAAGCCTAGGTCATGTTAAGCCTAGGTCATGTTAAGCCTAGGTCATGTTAAGCCTAGGTCATGTTAAGCCTAGGTCATGTTAAGCCTAGGTCATGTTAAGCCTAGGTCATGTTAAGCCTAGGTCATGTTAAGCCTAGGTCATGTTAAGCCTAGGTCATGTTAAGCCTAGGTCATGTTAAGCCTAGGTCATGTTAAGCCTAGGTCATGTTAAGCCTAGGTCATGTTAAGCCTAGGTCATGTTAAGCCTAGGTCATGTTAAGCCTAGGTCATGTTAAGCCTAGGTCATGTTAAGCCTAGGTCATGTTAAGCCTAGGTCATGTTAAGCCTAGGTCATGTTAAGCCTAGGTCATGTTAAGCCTAGGTCATGTTAAGCCTAGGTCATGTTAAGCCTAGGTCATGTTAAGCCTAGGTCATGTTAAGCCTAGGTCATGTTAAGCCTAGGTCATGTTAAGCCTAGGTCATGTTAAGCCTAGGTCATGTTAAGCCTAGGTCATGTTAAGCCTAGGTCATGTTAAGCCTAGGTCATGTTAAGCCTAGGTCATGTTAAGCCTAGGTCATGTTAAGCCTAGGTCATGTTAAGCCTAGGTCATGTTAAGCCTAGGTCATGTTAAGCCTAGGTCATGTTAAGCCTAGGTCATGTTAAGCCTAGGTCATGTTAAGCCTAGGTCATGTTAAGCCTAGGTCATGTTAAGCCTAGGTCATGTTAAGCCTAGGTCATGTTAAGCCTAGGTCATGTTAAGCCTAGGTCATGTTAAGCCTAGGTCATGTTAAGCCTAGGTCATGTTAAGCCTAGGTCATGTTAAGCCTAGGTCATGTTAAGCCTAGGTCATGTTAAGCCTAGGTCATGTTAAGCCTAGGTCATGTTAAGCCTAGGTCATGTTAAGCCTAGGTCATGTTAAGCCTAGGTCATGTTAAGCCTAGGTCATGTTAAGCCTAGGTCATGTTAAGCCTAGGTCATGTTAAGCCTAGGTCATGTTAAGCCTAGGTCATGTTAAGCCTAGGTCATGTTAAGCCTAGGTCATGTTAAGCCTAGGTCATGTTAAGCCTAGGTCATGTTAAGCCTAGGTCATGTTAAGCCTAGGTCATGTTAAGCCTAGGTCATGTTAAGCCTAGGTCATGTTAAGCCTAGGTCATGTTAAGCCTAGGTCATGTTAAGCCTAGGTCATGTTAAGCCTAGGTCATGTTAAGCCTAGGTCATGTTAAGCCTAGGTCATGTTAAGCCTAGGTCATGTTAAGCCTAGGTCATGTTAAGCCTAGGTCATGTTAAGCCTAGGTCATGTTAAGCCTAGGTCATGTTAAGCCTAGGTCATGTTAAGCCTAGGTCATGTTAAGCCTAGGTCATGTTAAGCCTAGGTCATGTTAAGCCTAGGTCATGTTAAGCCTAGGTCATGTTAAGCCTAGGTCATGTTAAGCCTAGGTCATGTTAAGCCTAGGTCATGTTAAGCCTAGGTCATGTTAAGCCTAGGTCATGTTAAGCCTAGGTCATGTTAAGCCTAGGTCATGTTAAGCCTAGGTCATGTTAAGCCTAGGTCATGTTAAGCCTAGGTCATGTTAAGCCTAGGTCATGTTAAGCCTAGGTCATGTTAAGCCTAGGTCATGTTAAGCCTAGGTCATGTTAAGCCTAGGTCATGTTAAGCCTAGGTCATGTTAAGCCTAGGTCATGTTAAGCCTAGGTCATGTTAAGCCTAGGTCATGTTAAGCCTAGGTCATGTTAAGCCTAGGTCATGTTAAGCCTAGGTCATGTTAAGCCTAGGTCATGTTAAGCCTAGGTCATGTTAAGCCTAGGTCATGTTAAGCCTAGGTCATGTTAAGCCTAGGTCATGTTAAGCCTAGGTCATGTTAAGCCTAGGTCATGTTAAGCCTAGGTCATGTTAAGCCTAGGTCATGTTAAGCCTAGGTCATGTTAAGCCTAGGTCATGTTAAGCCTAGGTCATGTTAAGCCTAGGTCATGTTAAGCCTAGGTCATGTTAAGCCTAGGTCATGTTAAGCCTAGGTCATGTTAAGCCTAGGTCATGTTAAGCCTAGGTCATGTTAAGCCTAGGTCATGTTAAGCCTAGGTCATGTTAAGCCTAGGTCATGTTAAGCCTAGGTCATGTTAAGCCTAGGTCATGTTAAGCCTAGGTCATGTTAAGCCTAGGTCATGTTAAGCCTAGGTCATGTTAAGCCTAGGTCATGTTAAGCCTAGGTCATGTTAAGCCTAGGTCATGTTAAGCCTAGGTCATGTTAAGCCTAGGTCATGTTAAGCCTAGGTCATGTTAAGCCTAGGTCATGTTAAGCCTAGGTCATGTTAAGCCTAGGTCATGTTAAGCCTAGGTCATGTTAAGCCTAGGTCATGTTAAGCCTAGGTCATGTTAAGCCTAGGTCATGTTAAGCCTAGGTCATGTTAAGCCTAGGTCATGTTAAGCCTAGGTCATGTTAAGCCTAGGTCATGTTAAGCCTAGGTCATGTTAAGCCTAGGTCATGTTAAGCCTAGGTCATGTTAAGCCTAGGTCATGTTAAGCCTAGGTCATGTTAAGCCTAGGTCATGTTAAGCCTAGGTCATGTTAAGCCTAGGTCATGTTAAGCCTAGGTC